CGCGCATGTAGTGCTGAGGCGCATTGGAATCTTGAGCTCGGTAAGAATGGATTCGTTGGTTCTGTGTTCTGTCCAACGAATCCCGAGCATTTCCCTCCAGCACCACATCTCAAACGCGTCGATGCGTTGGCGGTCGCCTTTCTTGAGGATCCAAGTCGCTGCGCCGTAGAGAAAAATGGAAAAGACGAGGGAGGTGACGAGCTGCTTTTTAGTATTCCTCGAGATGTTTCTGTCCGCGGTCGGAACACGGTCCATTTGGGACATAGCGCTCTTTGCCATACTGATTCGCCTTCTGAGGTCCTTTTCGGAGGATCCATTACTAGCTATGACGGAGCCCAGATAAATGAAATCCTCTACGACTTCCAGGTTTAGCTTATTCGTAGTTTAATAAGTTATTATTGTTAGTAGTTTTATTTACTAGTCGAAATATAAATTTTTAATTATCTTATAAATGAGAATCTTATATTAATGAGAAAGATATTCAACAAAAATAGTTTCGTTCTAATAAATTAGCATAGTAATAGTACAGTGAACTAGCAATTTATTTTGGTAATTCTGAATTTAAACAAACATATTGATGAGAAGAAGTCATTTTTACTTTGCAAATTTGTAAATACACGCTCTGTAGCAATGTATGGACATATAATAATATGAAGAAACAATAATAGCATCTACAAATACATATGTACTACGTGGTACTACATTTACTAAAATTAATACAACATTTATTAATTAAATTAATGAAATTGTGGTTTTAAAGTTTTAGGGGTGTATAAAAAATGGGGGGCGCTGAAAAATAATTGACTTTCAAAGGGGGCGGTAAAAGAAATAAGTTTGATAATCACTGCTATAGAATGTGTAATTGAAGCGTCCAGTCTAACTTATGAACACGTGTTTACGATCGACTTCCACGACGAAAGAATAATGTGCTATGAAATGAAACCCACAATTTTTAACATTTACGTAATTAATTACTAGTATGAGTACGTATTGAGCTCGCGTCACTATTTAGTACAAGCAAGCATACGTTCAAATTTATAGGGTAGAACAACCGTTAGTACCATACAATTGATAAACTTGTGTTTTTCCAAATAAAAAAAATATAATAAACATGTTTTGTAGGTTTCATTGCTTATTGCTTCTAAGTGCTCGTGTCGCCATTACATTTTCAATGCCAATATTGTTAATGTACTATATAGACAAAAAACTAAAAGCGGCCAACTAATCTTTAATTTAGTAATACAATGAGCAATTGTTTTGGCACTTTATCTTTAAAATAGAAAGACTTGATTGTTAAAAAAATGTACGAAAAAAACCGACAGAAGATAATGTGTTATGAAAATTTTTATGGCTCGCTCCCTTTTTTACAAATATTTGTGACTTCAGATAATAAACTCAGATAAAGTAAACCAAAGATCTTGACAGCAATGTAGACAAGGTTATGGAATGGAAGTTTTTTCAAGAATGTTGATAAGATATAATCTGCCGTTACACACCATAGTAAAGATGGAATGAATGCTTTGGACAATTATTTTGTCTTTCGCAGACAATTTAACAGATCCTAAGCGGAACGACACCATTTACTTTTAACTTTTGATCACAAAATACAGCACACCTGATGATGAAAGGTGAAATAAGTAATCTATAATTCAAAACGCGAGGAACAGTCAAGGGGTGCCTGGCACAGAAAAATCTTTTCAAACGTTGTTTGAAGAAAACCGCTCTAAAAAGACCATAGAGGAGGGGAGAGGTTTATAAACAACAATCAAAACCCTGTCACGCTCCGGTGACTTTATTTATTTACTAGCTGCTACCAGCGGCTTCACCTGCGTAGTGAAGGAAAGGTGTTAATAATTTTTTCTAAAGTGTCGGGTCATGTTTCTAAAGATAATATAACAGTTTTCCGTTAGAATGAGATGATTTTCAGGATAAAAAATAGCCTATATTTATTAATATTATAATTTTCTCTACTGAACTAAAACTTTAAGAAACACAGCGTAGCCCGCACCCACTTGAAATCCCTTCAGGTTATTCAATCCCGACTCTGCAGGATAGCTGTCGGAGCGCCATGGTTCCTGAGGAACGTGGATCTCCACGATGACCTCGATTCAGTTAGTAAGTATCTACAGTCGGCATCGCTGCGCCATTTTGAGAAGGCGGCACGACATGAGAACCCTCTCATCGTGGCCGCTGGAAACTACATACCCGACCCTGTAGACCGAATGGTAAACCGTCGACGTCGCCCAAAGCACGTCATTACGGATCCTCCTGATCCATTAACGATAAGACGGATTCCTTTTGTTTGTTTTAAGTTTATTTTATACAAAAGCTTAAGTATTTGATTTATGGATTGAGGCACTACGAAGTCTGCCGGGTCAGCTAGTAATATTATATAATAGTACGAAAGTATGGATTACATGGGTAGGTATACAAAACAAAAGCCTATCCGGTGTCACTGGTTGTCGTGTCTATAGACATCAGAACGTACACCAACAGCTTTTTTCCACTACCCATTGGCTGATAGCCTAAAAGACCTTTCCAGCTACGCGCGGCGCGTGGGTAGATGAGCTCACAGGGTCAACCTGAAGGAATTTGCTAACACTAGCACACCTGAGGTACACCAAGCAGGCATGATTGAATAGTACAAGACAGCTGATACAGCAGACATGATTGATACAAGACAGCGCGGTATACGTGCGGCCTCACAATGTAGGGTATATTATATTATTATATTAGCACCGATGCAAATGGAAGAATTTGTTTCGAGCCCTACACCCCAGCAAAAGATAGGAAAGAAAAAAGAAGAAGACCACCAATAAACGCCAGTTGGCGATTACAATAAGTTCGTGTGATATTGAAAGAGCGCTGCTGCCCATTCTATAGTTATTCCCTTAGTGGTATTTTATGATAACTACGAACACGAATGGGATAGTGCTATTTTAGGCTAATACCACACAACCGAGTCATGAAAAACATCGATGTCTCGTCTCGCGCGCCACTTTACGTAATTCTGAAAAAAACCTTCCCTGGGGCACCAATAACTATATCAACTTTCATTACAATCAGATGACTGGTTTAAGAATGTATACAGGACAAACATAGAAAGATTCATTTTTATTTATATGGAAAGAATTTATAATTGAGTCGTCTATTATCAAAGGTGGCAATCTGTGCATTTGGACAAAAATTTTTTATTGATATGTCAATACAGATTGATTTGAATATAATCGTCTCCTTCAAAGAATACGGTTCAAAACCTGCATTAAATAAAGGTTAATACTTAACCTGTTATTTATCTAAGATGTCGTTCCGAAGAGTTTTGTGACTGCCAATGGAATACAAAGTCAATAATTCGTTTTTCTGATTTACCAATCATTGTCCAAAAGTCAGATTGCCGGCTTTGATAATAGACGACTCAATTATAGACATTGAGAAAACATTTAAGTCGTCGTGGCCTAAAGGATAAGACGTCCGGCGCATTCGTATCTAGCGATGCAACGGTATTCGAATCCCGCAGGCGGGTACCAATTTTTCTAATGAAATACGTACTTAAGAAATCTTCAAGATTGACTTCCACGGTGAAGGAATAACACCGTGTAATAAAAATAAAACCCGCAAAAATTATAATTTGCGTAATTACTGGTGGTAGGATCTCTTATGAGTCTGCACGGGTAGGTACCACCACCCTGCCTATTTCTGCCGTGAAGCAGTAATGTGTTTCGGTTTGACGGGTGGGGCAGCCGTTGCAGCTACTATACTGAGACCATAGAGCTCATATCTCAAGGTGGGTGGCGGCGTTTACGTTGTGGATGTCTATGAGCTCCAGTAATCACTTAACACCAGCTGGGCTGTGAGCTTGTCCACCCATCTAAGCAATAAAAAAAGAAAAAAATGTTTATTGTGTCCATTATGTATTGCTGTGACTACACAACAAATTTGTACTTCAAGGTTACAAAAGTGAATTGAAATTTGTCTTTGGAGTAATGATAATTTTTATTTAGTATTTTTTAATCTTATCATGTAAGTTGCATGTTCACTTTGAAAAATATTCCAAATGTATTTGTTTTTTACTGTCTTTTGCTTTTTAAAATAATGTAGTATTATATTTAGTATATGTGTCTCCGTCACTCAAAATATGAATGATCAAAAAACTACCTGTAAATAATGAATTATAGCTTGTTTTTCTTTTGTATATGCAAATATATATAATACTACTGATGTGGTAGTGCACAGCTACAAAAGTGAGAATTTCATTGCAATAGGGATTTCAACAGTTCTTACTTTTCCAAATTGCAATGCACTGTATAGAAATAATTTGTATTACAATTTTATCTCCTTATTGTGGAAGAATATTACCCATAATACCTGACTTTGACTACCCATTCCATCTGTAATATGTATATCTATTATTAATATGATGGTACCGTGCCAGATACTAAATCTGCCAACAACTAATACAATGTTTCAGCTTTGATTGTAAACAACCTTTAATCACAAAGTACACGAGTTTTGTTTTTAATATACTAGATGACAAAAAAAAAGTTATATCAATATACAAACTTTTTTTTTCTAATAAAAAGTGAGTAAATATTACATAAAACATTAAGTATAATCTAATAACTTTTTAAAAACTTGTAGAAATTCTAACAAAATCCTTCTAGATATTATGTTATGACCTTCACTAATCACCTATCACCAAAATAAAGTCAATGAATTTAGTAATTTCTTGTTATTTTAATACTGATCTATTATCATATTGGATCTGATATGGCGTATCCTAACTTTAGAAGGTTATTTTCTTGAAGTTTCGAATGAAAGTACATGATAAGACAAATTATAAATTTCCAACGACATCAATTCCAGATGTTTAAATTCTAACTGAAATTTATTCTTCAACAACAGCATCCAATTTCCCAAGTCCATAAATAAGTAAAGCAATTATTATGGACTGGTACCGTAGAGGTCAAGGTAAACGATGAGGTATATTTTTGTTAACTTACCGGCGATAGTCAATCTGTCCATATAGTTGATGAGGTTAACGAAGCATAATATAGAGACAGTCATATATTGTGAGAAGGTCACTTCACGTAGACTGTTATGTCTTCTCGCCTGTTTCTCCTGTAGAAGTGCCGTCGCCGAATCATTATCACCGTTTATAACTAACTGCTGGTTCGAAGTGTTCGGTGTTATACCACGAGGGTCCATGATTACAAGAGTTTCAAGCACTTTCAAATTCCACGAGAAAGCGACCGCTTTCAGGAATATTTATTAACGAAATGTCTTCAAACTTGTGGTTAAAAAGTATACTTTATATTAAATCGATACTCAAAACAAATAATCACAGAAACGTTAATCATCAGCTTTAGGTCTTAGATTCATTTCTATTTTTATAATATATTTTTTTAAATGAATTTAATATTTTTGACGTAATGTACGTTTTTCTCATGTACACATCGACAAGAACTGACGTCTATTCTCTTTGGACGTCTGCGACCGAAAGTCTATACGTAACTTAAAATAGGGAAGGCGATGTAAGATCGTCTCTAATGAAGAAATCGATTTTAACCAGATTTTATAAATCGAATTAGCGTAAGCTCTCACAGAATAGAAGAATACGGAAAAAACGGAAATTATTAGCGATTAGTGATATTTGGAACACAGATTTACATTTATATCATAATATGGTAAGTCTTATGTAAGTGTCCTATAAACTTGGGACCTGTGACGCTAAAATTACAACCATCAGCATGACAAGCCAGTATTGCAGACTCAACAAGCCCATCGCAGCGAACTAAGCGCGCTTCCTGGTCCTAAAGCCGCACCTTCACTACTACAAGACGTAATAACCCTCCATTGATATTGTTATTGTTAGTAAAGGGTGTTGGGACTATCAACCAACCAGTGCCAGTGCAACCCATTTAGATATTTTGTGAATTCCTCGACTTTAAGCCTCTTTTTACAGGCTTCCCTTTCCTTAGACATATTTTTATAATCTGTTCTCCGAAGACTAAGTATTCTTTGCTGTCCAAGATCTCAGTCAGACAAGATGTAAAGAGGGGTTTCCTCCTCTTCACTACAATACTGAAACTCACATTTTATTGCGACCCATGCGCACAGAAATCGGGGTGTACCGGTTTTAATCCTTCTATAGGCTACGACTAGATTTTCTGCGTTCGTGACCCTAATTATAGCCACGCGCACCATTTTAGTTCAGTCTCGACTAGCCGCAGACTTCAAGCAGCTTGCTGAGATTAGCTTGCCAGTTCTAGTGCAGGTATATTCCAGAATTTACAATACGAACTGCTATTGTAAAGATCGATTTTTGAAGTATCGATCTTTTTTTAATGAGTTTTCAGACATCGATTCGGATCAATTAAACGATGGATCTTTTTGGGGAGAATCACTATTTCTATCTGAAAACTTGACCAATGAAAATTTGGGATTTGAATGAATCTGGTTTATGTAGTAGCTTTTTGGAATGAATGAAAAATTGTTTAATCTAATTTTAGAAACTACTAATTCACTTTCCTTTATTTATTTTTTGGTGTCAAGAGGAAATCGCCAAATTCCCGCTTAAGCGGTGGATGCGGTAAAAGGGGTATGTCGGAGTTGAAACGACTAAAACCCCTGCCTTTCAACAAACCAACATACGTCGGAGCCTCGAACGAGGCAGAACTTGTTAGGCAGGCAAGAGGTAATCGAAAATGTTTCGCGAGGTGCGCCAATTTTCCTATCACCCTAGACGTCGAATTGGCGGTTATCAATGCCATCATCACTAGGCTTTTCAGTCCACGGGCTGTCCACATCCCGTTTATTTTGCGCCGCCAACTCATATCCCCGGCCCCCGGTATACCCCACTGAGTCAGAATCAGCATAGGTCAAGGGGTGCGATCATCCGTCACTTAGTAAGTCACTATATCTACATCGTTTTACTATGTCGTATTTAACAGCTAACCAAACAACGGCTGTGGCGATGTGATAATTGGTAGCAAAATCCAAATGCGACATATCGATTTATAAAACTCAGAGATTATAATAATTTAGTTTCTTAAATAATGTAACATTTAAAATGTAAATTTAAAATGGATTGCCACCTCACGCAATGCCAAGAATACAATAATGTTTTTGTCTACCTTTTTTTTTATTGCCCGTATAGGCAAACGAGCACACCGTTACCGTAATGGCTCATGGACGTCAGCAATGCTAGGGGTAGAGCCAAGCCGCTGCCTATCGTTACCTACCTAGGGACTACATTACTCTTCTGTTTTTTGTCGAAAAGGGGATACACAACACCCAAAGGATTCATTATACCGTAGCTTTATGGCTTAAAGGGAAAACTTTCTGTAGAAACTCACTGTACAAGAGGGAAGTGGTTCAAGGTTAAAAAGAGAACAACTCTGTTTCGGTGTCGGGTGGTACGGTGATTGAATAGAGACCGTGGTATTATTTCCATTCGTTTTTCGGAGCAGTTCCCGTGAAACAGATGTTTGAATACGCATAGTGGTCTAAAGTCTCCACGTGTGGGTACCTGCTTAGCATTGTCTACCACCCGAGTGTGGGAATATTACTCGATGTGGGATCTGACTTGTGCCATCTAGAGCGCAAGCCGCTGAGCAATTGAGAAGTTTTTGGGATTGGCTAATTATTTCCAATTTTCTAGATTTCAATTTAGCCTTGAAACCAAATTGCTCCAAACCTAAATACCTATAATATTTACAATAATACCAGACGGCGCTCGAAATCTCTAAAAAAATATTCTATCGAGATTAGAGTCGTTGAGTTGTGTAAAGCCACAAAGTTACTAGGGAAGAGATCTCCTTTATTACTTATTATTCTTTTATATTTTCAGAATACAATGATGGCCATGACAATTTTCTTTTTTGATAACTGCTCCAATTCAACATGCGGTCAATCGACGTGCCAGGATATCTGATATCTGTTAACATATGCGGTTATCTGCCTATTAAAGTCGGTAGCTCATAATCACTAAGAGTACATTTTTAGATTACTAGGACGACTATACTTCATCTACGTAACCTAGTCTTTTTTTTTACAGGAGATAATCACCGGATCTTCAGGTGGTATGTGGGAGTTGAACTTCACTAAAAACTCCTGCCGCTGACAGCCAGCGCCCCCCCCCGGAACCGCCCGGAATGGCCCGGGCCATTGAGACGACGGACAGGGTCGACGCAGAGTATATTACATCTATCCCGCCGTCCCCCAGATGCCGGATCGGCGGCCGCCGGCGACACGACCACCGGTTCCCTCGGTCGACGGGCCGGGAGTCTGCCTTGATGACGCCGCGTTGCACTTTCCCCCTGAGCGGTCGGACGAACGCAGCCTGCCATCGCCCGGCTTCCTATTAAGGGGCGAGCGTGCCGAGCCACCCCACGCATAGGTCCCTCCCCGCACAAAGCGAATGGATCTCAAAGCTCTTAGGGGGCCGGGTCACGGATGGGACCTCGGTCCTGAGCCCTACTCAGCGGCGGCGGATTTATGTGTAGTGAGGAGAGCTCTGCCTCACTCGCCCTGCCACCTCCTTCCGCGATATGGAACACTCGCAGAAGTTGAGCATAGCCTTCCAGTCGAGAATATCCTTCCCTTGTCCGGTCAACACCTGCACTAGATGAAAGGTGAGGCGTCCTCCGCCACGATTCACCCAATCATCAAAGACTGGGTAAACCACCTCGACGGTCCGTAGACCCCACGAAGGGTTGGCAAACCGCCTCGACCACGACTCGAGAACCTAGTCTGGTGGTGTTTTCCAATGAGTGTGTAGTGATAAAATCATTTACAACATGTTTGATAAGGGACATGCCAGCACTCCACCACGAGGGCGCGCTTTTACTGCCAGTAACCCCTTTGTCTCGTTGTCCTCAAATTAAATCATCCTCACCCTTCGCATATTTTTAATCCATCCAGTCATAACGATATCGATGCCTATCCAATACCGCACTAATGCTCGTGAAGTTAGTTATATCGGCGGCATATTCCACTTCGATAAATGCACCAAAACTGGTTGTTTACATAGCGTTTAGTGGCGGCCTCTGCCCCTAGCGTTAGTGATGTCTATGAAAATCGGTAGTCACTCAGCATCCGGTGGGCCGTATTCTCGTCTATTGAAGTAATGAAATAATAGCGGGTAGGACTAGTACTGAAATACTATAAAACATTTTAGGTACACATATTTAGATTGCAGTAAATTATTTTAATTTATTTTTTATTGCTTAGATGAGTGAACGAGCTCACAGCCCACCTAGTGTTAAGTGGTTACTGGAGCTCATAGACATCTACAACGGCTGCCCCACCCTTCAAACCGAAACGCATTACTGCTTCACGACAGAAATAAGCAGGATGGTGGTACCTACCCGCGCGGACTCACAAGAGGTCCTACCACCAGTAATTACGCAAATCATAATTTTACGGGTACCTATGATTTTTATTACACGATGTTATTCCTTCACCGTGAAAGTCAATCGTGAACATTTGTTGAGTACGTATTTCATTAGAAAAATTGGTACCCACCTGAGATTCGAACACCGGTGCATCGACTGCTGGTGCAACACGAATGCACCGGACGTCTTATCATTTAGGCCACGATGACTTCAAAATATAGGTTTGATTAATTTGAATATAGGTTGGTGTAATTAATTGATACTTGCTCGGTGCACCTCTACGTATTTATTATACATTAAATTAGCAAGATTTGTTTGCCCGCATATACAATTCGGTTTCATTTTTACTTAAAACGTTTGATACCAAAATAACTTAAACAATAATGAAAAGCTAAAATCGAAATGAAAGAAAAAAGATCAAAGACGCGCCTTACTCGCACTGAATAAACTGCTGCGATTTGCCGCGTCACAGAAATAGCTCGAATGTGCCAAGATGTTTTTGTGAGCTCCTAAATTATCTAATTTATAACTTAAAAAAAATGCTGTTGATTTCGCAATACCTATTCTTACAAATACCTAAGTTTAAGAGAAATGTATCACTTTTTTTTACGTGTTCCCCTATGTAAAATTACATCTGTGCTTTATATGACAAATTACAGATTTATTTCTCTACTTGAAAACTTTTATGATATTTTAAACAAAAATCTAATTAGAATTCCTAAGGCAAAATAATTCATTACAACAAATATCATACCATGTACAACAGCCCCAAATAATCAATTTGCGTAAAGCGACGATCGAATGAAACCAAAGCATCTAGTATTTAAATTATTTTTTCTGAAAGGAAAATAAACATGTAAGCAATTTAATAAGCTGTCCTATGAAGTTTTTGTTATTATTGAAAATTAGGTTTTAAACAAAAAAAAACACATGGTCTCAATTTTAGTGGACCATTCCACGTATGGGCAGCAGCATTCACGTTGTGGTATCTATATGCTCGTCTGTGTATCTTACTCAAATAACTTGTTTTTCTAATTTGGAAATAAAAACACTAACAATTTACAATACTCACCCAAAAAGTTTTATTTATAAGAAGATTTATAGTGATCTAAATTTTAACAAATTAAGGAGTACTTTGTCCTGAACAATTTTCATTTCCATTTTGTCCAGACTACCAAAATATTTTGCCAAAACTAAAGTACACGTCTTGAAAATTTTACTATATAGTAATTTATTTCAGAGCTTACGTGATTTCATTGAAACAGATAAGATTAAGCGATGCTGTGTAATAGCTAGAAAGTACAATGTTTAAGCTTCACTACCATAAGTGTATAGAAATAAAAAAAATAAGATTTAAATAATTTATTGCACATCTTATACCAGAATAACATAACATTATATAATTATGCAAATTCATTTAATTAATGTTAATACAATTTTTATTAATTTAGTGTTGCTTAGTTACAAAAATTTTGCAAAACATTCCTACATTCTGATTGTAGATTAATAATTATTACAACAACAAGATTTTCGACCTTACGTCTCAAGATAGGCTACATTGTGTCTATGGGCTGCGGTAACCATTTGAAATTAGACGGGTCGAAACCTCGTTTCATTAACGATAGTTTATAAAATAATAATATCATGGAAAATATGCCGATACTGGTGTTGACCGATACGTATTGCTTCTTGATGACTTTTTTTCTCTGTAATCAACCTTCGGCAAATTGATGTTGGTATTTTCTTTACCTCTTTGTGTTTCAGCGGAAGTAGCTTTCGAACCTGTTCAAACGTTTAAAAACTTCATTTAAAAATAATGAGTATAAGTATTTAAATTAATAGGGGTTAAAGTATGAAATTGCCGTTTTATTGTAATAGGTACTTCAAATTAACATAGAACCTTCATGGTTTGAGATTTTTGAGTGTTTTTTTTTAAATGGTAGGTACCTATGAGGTTCTTCTTTTAAAAGACGTGCAAAATTCGATTACCTATCGACTTTCAGTTGTATTTTATTCAGCTTAGACAAGAAAGATGCTCTACAGGAACTGCAATTAGAAACCATTCGTCACCCTCCGTATTCGCCAGACCTTGCTCCAACGGACTACCCTTTTTTTCGTGATTTGGCCAATTTTCTACGTGATAAAAAGTTTTCTTCCCAGGAGGCAGTACAAAATGCTTTCATACAGTTTGTAGAATCTAGATCACCAGAGTTCTATCGCAAAGGCATAATTTACCATCCTATTAAGATGGCAACAATGTATCGATAATAATGGAAGATATTTTGATTAAATAATTACGTTAAATGAAAGAAAACACGAATTTAAAATTTTCAGTACAAATCGGCAATTTCATTCTTTAACCCCTAATATTTATAGATGTATCCAAAATGATTGCCCGTTCTTTGCCCGAATTGATTAATGAAATCTCCACCAAAGCTACTAGGCAAAAAAAATAAAATAAGTAGGTACCTTTCGTAGCATGGTTGATGTTACTTGCAGGCTTTAAGTATTTTGGATCCAATCCTGTTTTCGAAGTTGTACTTTGAATTTCAGGACTCTTTTCTACATCAGACCTGTTCCAAAAAAAAGATATTACTATAATAGACACCATTGTAACCATGTTGATTTGTAAACATTAAAGAGACAGTTTGACTGACGTCGTTTTTATTAAAAGCACAAATTTTGTACAACTGGAGGCTTTTCGTAGGATTTGGTGGGAATTCACCTATCAATTTCCCACTTTCAGCCGAACGCAACAAAATGGGCGTGAAAAGAAAAAAATTGTGATTTTTGTTATCGATGATCGGCTAGATTTATTTATAGCTTAATAATATAAATCGGCCAGTTTTTGCAAATATATAACAAATTAGAGAGAAATATAAAACCAGCAATCGTTTTGACATTCCATAGATCACGTTTACTTACAATTTGGATGTAGCGTAAAAATTTATAGAATCATCAGAAACGTAGGGCAGCGAATCATTTCGGATGTTTTTAGCTGTGAAATAGGGACTTGAGCTGCTTGAGGGCTTTGTTCCGTGGTTATCATTGCTTTGAGGCAGGTCTACTGGCGTGCAACCCTCCAACTTTTTGTGTAGCCACTGTATCACTGGAAGAGGCGAAAATGTTAATTTTAAAACACTGGAACGGTTAGGTTTCATATATCTGGAGGACTCAAAAATCCTTTCTTAACGATATGTCAATAAGAGTTTCTTACATTTAACAGAATGCATTTAAATATTTATTTGTTCTGTGGCCTCTTCATCGCGAATATCACTAGTCACCGAAATGATTTATTGACGACATAGCGTGCAAAAATAATAAAGTGAATTAAGTGAATTTGAACCCCAAGCCATAATTTAACACATAATAAAAGCATACTTTATTTTCAGGTATGAGAATGCAATTTACCTAAGCAATTTATTGCGTTAGTATGCAAAGTAAACAAATGCATGTCAGAAGATCAGCAAACGGTTTGAGGAATTATTTTATATTTATACTAAATAATATAACTCTTTATTTGACACCACAAGTACAGAGTAAGCATATAACACAAATAATAGATAGTGACATAAATTGGCGGCCTTATCGCTGAAAGCGATCTCTTCCAGGCAACCTTGCAGGGAGAGGAATAAGCAAACTAGCATGGACGGTGCTATATCTTAATAAACTTACATAAATATATATACATATGTAAAAAATAAATACAATACATATAATAAATATAAGATAGACTTACATATAATTAAATATAAATAAATACTAAAAATATTTTTAGGTAAATAAATACAAAATAAGTAGCAACTTATACAGTTATATCGTAGGGGCCATATTATTGTGCAAGGTAGTGCAATTTTAATCTAAACTTGAAAATTTAAATTTGAAATTTATTATATATTTAATGAATAAATATTTCACCCATATTGTTATTTTTTATAGTTTCCTCCTTGTCTTTTAAAGTCTTCTCACTGGACTCGTACTTTTGATTGAGATCATTCAGTTCTCTGCGCAACTGCTCTAGGTTGTTTTTACTATCGTTTAACTCAGATTTGAGTTCGTCAATCTCTTTGGAGTTACGCTCGATTACCTTCTCCTGTTCCAGTGCAATAGCCGTTCGACACATTAGCTGGAAGTGGTCACCAATAATATCATGATTTAGTTATAATTAATATCGTATTTGTCGGCTGAAGAAACTAAAAGATGACTGGGACAAAATATTGGTTATTCGGGTCTACCAATAAACAAATATGGTTATTTGAACGAATGCTGTCTCGTGCGCTTCTCTCTAGACGTAGTCCCTTCGGAGACGCCGGAGTCCGACATAACCAGATCTGAAGCACCATTGACCGGGTATCCGTAAATAATAATGAACAAGGAATTATTATATGGAATGTGAATTATAGTGGAATAAAGAACATCGCGCCTTTTATTGAGACAGCACATACTGTAGGTTGGGGTTGTTGTAAGCCCGCACAGATAGCATTCTGTATATTTCTGTCACAAACTAGCCATACAGTATTATTTATACTTCAACATCATGACTCAAGAGACAAACATGTACGTTGTAATGTATATGAGCTCCGGTAACTAATGACTACTAGTTGGGCCATGCACCCATGTATGTAGTAAAAAAATATACTTCTTACCTTTTCTTTTAATTCTATTAAATCAGCATTTTGTTTAGAAATGATTTGATTTGCTTTCATGAGTTGCTCCGTCGTTGATTGTACTATTTCATTGTTTTTGTTAATATGAGATTCACTGACTGCTACTCTTTCTTCTAAGCATGCCTAAAAGAAATAGGTATATAACTCATAAATAGGGCTTCTTATATGCTAGGCTAGTTCAATGATTTTTGTTCACTCAGTCAGTACCATACTTACTTTTTCCCTTTTAAGGTTCTGAATTGTGTTTTTCAAGTCTTTTATACTATCAGCATTTTCCTTAGCTGTCTGAAATACAAAACATCCTGTAAATTTTAAAATATTTTTTACTTATAATATACTTATAATTATACACAATACAAAAATGATTTTCATTACAATAAAACAATTCAGAAATTACTTCAAAATTATCAAAAACATTTTTTTAATTGCCCTTGTAGGCAGACGAGCATACGGCCCATTTGATGGTGAGTTATTACCGTCGCCCATGGACTTCAGCAATGCCTGGGGCAGAGCCAAGCCGCTGGCGTACCGCTTAATATTCTCCACAAGCCTCGTTTGAAGAAAGACATTCAAGATTTTCAAGGTGGGTGGCGCATTTACGTTGAAGATGTCCATGGGCTCCAGTAACCACTTAACTCCAGATGGGCTGTGAGTTCGTCCATCCATCTAAGCAATAAAAAAATATATATATGTCTTAGCGCTCGGGAAACACCGTGGAGGGGAGCTCATTACAAAGCCGGATGGTACGTGGCAAAAAAGATCTCTGGAAACGCACTGTGGATCAACGCAGTGGCTCCAGGTAGTATGGATGAACTCTACTCCGGTGTCGGGCGGTGCGATGGTAAAAACGAGATGAAGGTATCATCTCAAACAATTCCTCGGAGCACTCCCCATGGAACATACGGTACAAAATACAAATGGAACCGAAGTCCCTTCATATACCCAGAGGTTCCAAACGATACGTGAGAATGGGATTATCGGCAATCCGAACGGATCTCTTCTGTATGGAGTCAAATGGAAGTAGCTGGTATTTAGGAGCCCCGGCCCAGAGGTGGGAACAGTACTCCACGCGAGGCCAGACCTGTGCTTTGTATAGCAAAAGTCTTTGTCCAGACGTGAAGTACCACTTCGATCTGTTGAGGACTCCCAGCATTTTTAAGCCAACTTGGTTTTGCCCTCCAAATGACTCAGAAATTGGACATCGCCCGAAATATCGACCCCAATATTCTTGGAAGGTTGCAGGGATACTCCTTGGAATTGCGGTACCATGACAAATGGGTTCTTCGCAGTGAATGCGCAATGTCTTCAACGGTTTGAATTGAGCTAAGTTCAATTCACCCCACTTGCGAGACTCGCCCCAGAAAGACACAAGTTTTGATCGTGTCTCTTGCACCACGCTCCGACAGAGACTCTGATGGTCGATATATCGCGCAGCCTCCGTGCTGTCATTCGCATAGCAATGCATGCCCTCAATAGAAAGCATGTCATTGGTATACAGGATGAAAGGCGTGGGGTAGACCACCGAACCTTGTGGAATTCTCTAAATACTTCAGGAGTTCCGTATTTATCATTCGTTCCATCACCTTGGAAAGCAAAGAAGTTATCGCAATAGGCCTAGAACTCGACGGGTCCGACCGGTCACCCTTCTTGGGGATAGGGTGGACGTGGACGGTCTTCCATGAAGATCGAACCCTGTTAGTACTATATGAGAGGCGATACAAACGCGTTAGCGAAGGTGTCAGCTCAGGGGCACATATTTCCAGAACCACTGCGGGGATGAGGTCTGGCCCACTCGTCTTATGGACGTCCAGGAGTCGGAGCTCCCACCTGACTGTACATTGTGTAAAGCATATTTCCGGCAGAGAGCTATCACACCGGGGGATGTTCGGTGGTGTGGCACCCCCGTCATCCACTGTCGAGTTTGAGGCGAAAAGTTTGACCAGAAGGTCAGCCTTCTCTTTCGCGCTATGGGCCAGAATATCATCAGACTTGCACTTTTTTTTTCCTACCTAGCTGAGAGCCTTGAGAGGCCATTTCAGCGTAACCTCAACTAGTAAGTGAGCTCACGGAGCTCAAACCTGACGACGTTGCTAACACGGACCCTAGCAAGAGCCGTGCTTCGCAGAATCTACCACCGGATCGGAAACGCGACCCACTGAGAAGATCCGGCGAGAAACTCAGTGGGCTGCGTCTGAGGGTTAATTTACTTAATTTTCTCGTCGAGCCCTTCGTCGCAAGCGACAGGTTCGACGAGAACGATGACCGGTGCTTGAGGTACCTAAAAGCACCGTTAGTGGATCGGGAGGATCCGAAATGACGTGTGACTTGCGCAGTGGTGGGAGACTAGACCTGCAAAACTTTCCTTCTGCAGCTTTGGCGAGCACCCAAAAAGCGTGGCTCCCGGAAGGATAGCTCTTTAATCGTTCGCCAACTCTAGCGACGTGCTCCAATTTCGCCTTGGAAATAGCCCTCTTGTAGGACCTGGAAGCGACGTCATATTTCCGCCTTTCCTCTGAGACGTTAGGATCCCAACGTCTCCTGGCATCATGGACCGCTTGAGATGTGCAGCATACCTACTGGCATTGTTATACCAAGGTCAGCCGTGACACTCGACGTGAAAAAAAAAAGCGAAGTGGATCATAATGTCCCTTGTAGTCATCAGAATTATCAAAGTATATGGCTTGATTTAGATGAAGTCTTTACCTTTTCCAAAAATGTACATCTAGAACTTTGATGGGTATACTGCCTCTCTTTCTCTTGAATATCTCTCTCTAAGCCTGTACTATTAGCTCTTAGTGTGGCCACTTCAATATGTGACTTTTGGACTTCTTTCTCCAAAACATTCAATCTTTGACTTCTTTCACTAGAAATATTAATATTGTGGGAAAATTATTACTCAGATACTAGAAAAAGTATTTCTAAAAATAGTTTAGTTATGGGGCTGAAATAGAAATAAGCACCTTGCATTAATTCTATTCTGTTAGAACACAAAAAGGACGAAAGAAGCAGTGTCCAACTTACTGGACTGAAGTTGTTAATGAGTCTAACATGCACAAAGATACTGCTCGGTTACCCTGATGGTTACGTTCAAGTGAGATTATCCAGTGACAAAATAATAATATTAAACTAAATACCTTAACTGCTTTTCTAAATCAAAAATAGTATCTTTCAACTGCTTGCATCGAATATTTAATTCATCAAGTTCTTTCTCTTTTCTTTTCAAAGTTTCTTGGTATGAAGTCAGATGTGCTTTCATTGTCATTTCGCTATTTTTCTGTAGATTTGTTCTCTCCTGTAAAATTCAAATTTAATATCTCATAAGTAAGGTTAAAAATATAATGAAATGTACCCAAATACCCAGGATAACATTCACAGTACACAAAATTCTAGACACCATCAAATCAAATGCATACACAGATTCTGCAGACATTTAAGTTTATAAACATACAACTCAGAAACAGACATCTGTGTATTCTAGAACAGAGGTAGGAGAAGACAATATAAAATTTGGTGCTAAAGAGTAAAAATTTACTGTCCCTAGGGAGATCTAGGTTTCTGACATGTATTGATTAAGATAGGTATTGCTGAGCCAGTCTATGAGATTACATGTATGTCTACCACCAACCTCCACCAGCAATGTCTTATCATTTAACCAGCTTGTTCAGAAGTTCAAAGGATTGGGTCAATTGTATGGATTTGGATTGTATGCAATGCAAATATAAATTGTATGCAACTGGATTCAAAGGGTCAATTGTAAATTTTAGTAAGATCATGTTGACGGCAGTAATAAGCTCCCCAAGATCAATAAGTTTGTTGTTTAAGAACAATATTTGTAGTATCATATTTCACCAAAAGCTCATTTTCCATATGGTACATATATTCATAGACAAATTTAATTTTCATCTCCCTTTGGATGCATTTATCTAACAATTTCCTACAAACCTGAGTAATTTTCTCACGTTCTTGTTCAAGTGTTTTTTGAATTTCTATTTCTTGTCTTATTTTATCATCTTGCATTTTTGCTAATGTTAGATTCAATTCTTTGATTCTATTTTCTAAACTTACACATTTCGTGTTTAGTGATGACTCATTACTTGCAGCAGCAAGTTTCAAAGAAGATAACAAATCCTGAAAAATAATATCAGTAAATATAATAATAGTAATAAAAGTCTATCAACTTCACAATATTTCGCGTCTGTGTACCACACTGTCGTATACCCAATACCTGCAAGTTTCAACTTACTTTCAAATTTTTGATAGTACTAGCCATGTGTTGTTTAATATCTGTATCAGTTGCTGGACAAGTCTTCAAGGATAGATGGATAAGACGTTTGAACTCATTGTGCTCTACTACTTCTAAATAATACTGTAGAGGATTTGTCTGCTGCATTATAAGGAACCTAGAACCAGTATAGTTTAGAAATTAAAATATTTAAAAAACTTAATTTATTCAACTCTGCTATTAATCTGCACCTTGCCTTTTCGATGTCAGTTTTAGTGGTGGTAGGGTATCTTGTGAGTCCGCATTGGTAGATACCACAACCCTACATGTTTCTGCCATGAAGCAGTAATGCATTTTGGTTTACCTTCAAGGATGGGGCAGCCGTTATATTGTAAACCTGTGACTTTATAGCTCATATCTCAAAGTGGGTGGCAGCATTTAGCTTTTAGATGTATATGGGTTCTGGTAACCATTTCAGACCAGGTGGGCCATGAGCTTGTCCACCTATCCAAGCAATAAATAATAAAAAAGACAGTTTCATAATGGAAAACTTAGTTGCGCAACTGGCTTTGGTAATGCTACTGATTTTACTAGCTACTCATTAAAAAAAACTATCAACTATCTATTAAGGGCAACAATATCACTGTTTGCAACCGTAAAATTATTAAAAAATGAAACTCCCTAAATTAATCTCAAACTATTAAGAAAATGAATACATACATATTATTTATAGCACACTGCTGCAACAGTTTAACAAGTTGTGCTGGAAAATTATCAAAATCCACAAGTAAGCCTTGTTGTTTCTTCAAGTCATCATAGTCAATCCTTGTTAATATAAGAACACATAAAAACATAGGATCGTCATCGTCTGATAAAGTTATTCTCTGTAAATATTGATTAAGATCAATTAGAAACATAAAATATTTAAGTAAATGAACCTAATTCTAAACTCTAGTATCCCAACTTTAAATAAAGAAACATTTCTAAAAATCACCTACAATATAAATCATTGCTCTTTATATACTGCTTGTTTTATTGATTTAGGTAGAAATCATTTTTTTTATCTTCAAAAACAGTGTACTGTATTGATGAGTCGTGTGGTAACCAAGGATACCCCCAATCGGTTAAAAGGTGATAAACCTCGATTAAAATAAAACATAACTAACCAAACTGTCACTTTCAAAAACTTTATTCACAATTAATGTTATATCTTTCTTAAGTTCTTCACATCCACGTTTAAAGGTCACATAATATTTTCCTTTGTGATACATTTTAAAAGGCAAATCTTGAGATCATTTCAACAATGATGACCGGGGCTTACACTAAAATAATCAATTAAGTTCTAGATTAAAGGTGAATTTAAAGAATTTCCTTAGACTAATGAAACTCGTTTCGTAGCCGGCTTTTCAAAATAAATTAGATTGTTATGATTCGTCGTCGGTTTCATACAATTCAAAAGGCTCAAATTAACTGACTAACAAATGACTTTTGACTGATGTGAAATCATAGATAAGTTTCATACTTCAGTGTGTGAAATCCATTCAAATTGTTAATCAAAAAGGTACCTACCTATAACTACATAGGTACCATAAAGGGGGGATTGAGAGATGATTGGGGAAAACTCCAGGAAAATCTTTCGACGCTCATTATTAGTTTTATATTCGTCGTCGTCGTGGCCTAACGGATAAGGCGTCCGGTGCATTCGTGTTGAGCGATGCACCGGTGTTCGAATCTCAGGCGGGTACCAATTTTTCTAATGAAATACGTACTCAACAAACGTTCGCGATTGATTTCCATGGTGAAGGAATAACATCGTGTAATAAAAATGAAACCTAGACGGTGTTGCTGGTGTCCCGGAATACCCCGCTGGACCAGAACCAGCCTGCCGAGTCGGGACGCGATACACCGTCGACCGGTCGCTCTATTACTCCTCGGCAGCGCGCTAGAGTGCTGGTAGCGCGCCGCGTGGCCTCTACCCCTTCAGGTCGCCCCTTGACCTTCACCAGGGGGAGGCCGCTACCTACAGGGGCTGGGACGTTCCTGGTTGTTTGGGTTGCCTGGGTTTTTTCGAGCGCCACCTCGAGACGACACTTAGCCCGGGGAGGGAACCCCGTAGGGCGCCCCGCAGGATCCATTCTTAGCCGATGTTCCACAGTAGGGGGCCCAGGACAGACCCCTGCGGAACACCACGCTCGACGGGGAAGCGGTAAACCACCCCACCGTGTCTGATGCATACGATCGACCTGTCCTCGAGATAGGAGCCGATCAGCCGGCGGAGGTACGCGGGGACGCCGTGATACTCCAGCGCCCCCGCGATCACCGACCAGGGTAGGGTGTTGAATGCGTTCCTTATGTCCAAGGACACTGCCATTGCCACCACGCCCCGGGTTACGGCCTCATCAGAGAGGGCAAGCACGCGCAAAATCGCGTCGATCGTTGAGCGGCCCTCTCTGAAGCCGTACTGCTCCGCCGAAAGATCGGGACCCGACCTGCTCAGGTTTTTTGAATTTTTTTTATTGCCTTTGTAGACAGACGAGCGTACGGGCCACCTGATGGTAAGTGGTTATCGTCGCCCATGGACTTCAGCAATGCCAGGAGCAGAGCCAAGCCGCTGCCTACTGCCAGATGATGCAGGCAGCCACGATCCTCTCCAACATTTTGCCCGCCTCGTCCAGCAACACGACGGGGCGATAGCCCGCGGATGAGTCCGCGGGGCGCCCGTCCTTCCTCAACAGGACCAGTCTGCCCGTCTTCCATTTCGACGGGAATCGTCCCGACTCGAGGCACGCTTCAAAAAGCCCCCCGAACCGGTCCCCTAGGGCCTCGAAGGCCAAGGTCCAGACCCGGCCGTGAACGCCGTCAGGGCCGGGGGCCGCATCCTTCGCTCTCATTTTGGACACGGCCAAAATGAGAGCAAAAATGACTGAATTCAGTAGCGACTGAATTCAGTCAGAAGTGTAATAGCATTAAGTAAGTTAGTCTACTGAATTCAGTCGCTGCTGAATTCAGTCAAGCGTAATAGCATTATGTAAGTTAGTCTACTGAATTCAGTAGCAAGGATGATTTCTGACTGACTGAATCATTTAGAAGTCTAATTAGAAACCCATTTAGGAAGGTGTAATCGCACTCCTCACGATCCCGCCAAAAAGTGTCCTTTTTTTAAACATCAACAACTACCTTAAAATTCATTCATAAAGTTGGAATTTGTCCCTAATCACCCCATTTTACCCGTACCTATTAAAAAAGAAACTGGTCATCTTAATAATAGATTATACACATAATATATTCGAGACACCGGAGAAACAGAACCATAGATAATACACTTAATTGAGACACAGAACCATAGATTATACACTTAATATATTATAGTGCACAGAACACTGTTACTTCTAGCGAAGCGTTTAATAATAACTACAACTGAAAACAGAATAATTTAAAATAATTAAGAATACATAATTAACCTAATAGATTTAAGACAAAATGGTTAAAACTGTGCTAATCGCATTGATTTTATGGATTTCTTTATGTTCTGCGAAAAAGGCTGCACAAAAACCGGATTGGGCTAAAAAAGATATACGAGACTTTTCTGATGCTGATATGGAAAGGTGCAACTTAATTTAATCTACTAAATATTAATAAAAAGATCGAGTTTTTCCTTAAAAATATGCAGTCTGTTATAATTCGTGGCTTGATTTTATTTTAACAAAAGTTGTTGGTTATTAAAAACTATTTAATTTACTGTACGAACTTATTATGTTTTCTTTTCTTGTAGGCTTCTAGATCAATGGGAAGAAGATGAAGAGCCTCTTCCTGAAGATGAACTCCCTGAGCACTTAAGAAAACCTCCAGCTTTAGATCTTACAAAGATGGATATGTCGAACCCTGAGGCAGTTTTACAAGCAACTAAAAAAGGCCAGACTCTGATGATGTTTGTGTCTGTGGCCAACAAACCTTCTAGAGCAAGAACAGAAGAAATTACTAAGATATGGCAAACATCACTTTGGAGCAATCATATTCAAGCAGAAAGGTATTGTGATTTGAGGCTAACGGGCGATTTATATGAGACGAATTTTCCAAATATGAGCACATAAGACTAAATAACAATATCATATGTCATCACCTTCAACTCTTTATCAGAGAACATAAATAGCATTTATCAATTTCTTACTGGTGGGAGGGAGTCTTGTGAATCCGCACTGGTAGGTACCATTTCCCTGTCTATTTCTGCCATGAAGCAGTAAAGTTTTTTGATTTGGAGGGTGGGATAGTTGTTGTATTTAGCAGACTTAGAACTCACGTCTTGAGGTGAGTCATAGCAATTTACATCATTGTTGTCTATGGACTCCAGTAACCACTTGACGCTGACTGGAGCTCATTGACCATCATATAAGCAGTAATAAATATACATATCAGGGTATGATCAAGGTAATGTGAAATAGTGCATTTTTCAATGAAGCAATAATTCCTGTTTTTTTTTTATAGCGTATATGGGTGGATGAGCTCACAGCCCACCTGGTGTTAAGTGGTTACTAGAGCCCATAGACATCTAAAACGTAGACGCCCCACCCACCTTGATATACAAGTTCTAAGGTCTCAGTATAGTTAATCAACTCCTGTAATTCAACATCATCAAGTTTGTTACTTTTTATAAAAAATGAGACAAACACCAATGTTGCTTGACAAGGAAACTTGTTAAGACACCTTGGGTTGTAGCCTCTGGTAACAGTTTCTGTTATTCAAAATTGAAATTAGTCAAAGTTATTATTACCAGTAAACAGTCTTAGTACTATCCTTATTAAATTTAACAGCTGGGTAATGAAGGTGCAGCCCTATTGCCTCTTTATCTGAAGTTTTAGCAGGGAAGAGTAACTAATTGAATGGATATCTATTTACCTGCGGAGTCCCTTAATTCAGTTTATTTTATTGTCATTGAAACTAAAAACCTTGCTTTATAATAAAACAGAATGTCAATAATATTACACAAACATGCATGTGTGCATAATCAGGGTGAAGTCAGAGGTTCCTATCAAATTGATATGATTTTTTTAAACAGCATAGATAGTCAAACGAACTGCTCATTTGACATGTTACCAGTCCCATACCCCAGTATGAGTGGCTTTACTTAAAGGAAGTTTTGTTTTAGGTACTTAATAGATGATGACAGAGCCATTTTCATGTTCAAAGATGGATCTCAAGCATGGACTGCTAAAGAATTTCTATTAGAACAGGAGGAGCTTAAAGAAGTTCAATTGGAAAGTCAAACATACCCAGGAAAGAAACCTGATATTAAAAACAAAGCTCTAAGGGATGAGTTATAAAATAACTATAATAAAATAAATTGTATGATTTATATGTATATTTGTACTAAAGTTTTCCGTAAACATTCCTGAAGCTGAGAGTAATAATCTACCAACATAAATGAAAAAAATCAGAATATTCATTTACAATACAAACACTTTTAGAAAGATTTTATCTTATAATAAAAAACCACAATTATGTACTAGCTAATTTAGTACAATTTGAGATCTTATTAGTTTCATTAAGGTATGTTGAAAAAGCGGTATTTTATTGATCAAGTTATTAGGATGGGCTAACGTCAGGTTATCTTGTAAAAACGAGCAAAATTTTCTATTTTTTTAAATAAAAGTAAATGAAAAGAGGAATCAGTTTTATTTTGTGTTAATGTTCATGAATAATAAGCATATGGCCCACATGATTGGTAATTAGAGAGGCATTTGCCTACATATAAAAATCCAGCTTGCTACCAGTTCAAAAGAATGTTATATTAACAATCAAGTAACATCAAAGAAAGTCTTTTGATGCTGCTACCACTAATTTGTTATAACGGCAATGTTACGCTAAACGTAAAACTCAAAATGTCAATACGAAAAACGTTTTGAACTTCGAAGTTGTAAAGACTCACTGTATGGATCTGTTGTAAAGTTTTAAAGACTCACTGGATGGATGGTGTCAGTGACTTGTTCCTTGGGATACAAAAAACAATGTACGTTATCTTAATTGTAATCAGTCATAATTATTTTAAAAAAAACCAGACAAATGTATTTATATCATTTGTTTGTTGACTCTTGTTTGATTCAGCATCCAATCCTCAAGATCCTTGTGATATGTCGATGTTCTTCAATGAATCGCATAAAAATCGCTACGTTTTCTTCAGTGATCGCAGTCGAGAGTTGGAGCTTTACGAATTTTGTCATGGAGAAAAAAAGGTTTACGGTGTTCAAATCAATGGACAATCAAATGGACGGTAACCAGCGCCTTGCCTCTGCCCCTAGCATTGCTAAAGTCCATGGGCTACGGTTACCACTCACCACCAGGTGGGCCGTGTGCTCGTCTGCCTACAAGAGTAATAATTAAAAATCTCAAAATCGACATTCGTGAAAACAACCACTGATCCAATCCAATCCTGGAGAAATTTTAACGATAGGCAGCAGGTTGGCTCTGCTCCTGGCATTGCTGCAATCCATAGGCGACGGTTACCACTGACCATCTGGTGAGCCGTATGCTCGTCTGCCTACAAGGGCAATAAATAAAAATATCAAAATCTGCATCCGTGAAGACAACCACTGGTCCAATTCAATCCTGGAGAAATTTTAACGATAGGCAGCAGGTTGGCTCTGCCCCTGGTAATGCTTAACCCATAGACATTGCTCCTGTGAGGAGGCAATCTTCTCCCGGTGGTGGCCAAGGTGCAACCTGAGGGGGTCGAGGCTGCACCGCACGCTACCGTTACTCTAGGGCGCTGGTACCAGGAGGATGGGACAAAGCGTTGTCGGCAGCGATCCCCATTGCCGTCGTCGCCGAACATACTGTGGTAGAGCAACCCGGTCGGTGATGTATCGCGTTCCGACTCGGCTGGCTGGTTCTGGCCCAGCGGGGTATACCGAAACGCCACGGCATGCCCGGGCGGCCTGTTAGGGCCGACGTACCGCGGAAACCGGCATCATTGGTGGTCGATCATCGCCTCAATGAATCGTCGGTCGGGCGTCCTCGAGGTGGAGCCGCGGGTCTGGTTACACAAAGTGAAAATCTCGCTTTGTATAATTGGTGATCTTGTTTCAGGATGTGTTGTCTACAGGGTCAGATGGAAGTCCTGCTGATTCAAGTATCTATTAATACTTACTTGAATAAAATAATTCTGATTTTGGTGTACCCCTGGAACACTCTTGGTACCTATTCACTAACCAGGTTTAAAATTAGCTCAACTAGAGCAATAACAAAAAATTGGTACAAAATATTTATTACATAAAAGTTTTAAAAAATGAAATATATAACTTTTAAAATGCATCAGTTGCTCTAAAATGCTCTTCATCAATTGTTGAGTAGATATGACCTTCTCCACACATCCATTCCAAAATGTTTCTGCAAGTAATCATAAAAAAATTAAAACCCTTTAATTTTTCTATACTTAATTTCAAATTTTTATATTATACTAGCTGACCCAGCAGACTTCGTAGTGCCTCAATCGATAAATAAAAGACCTAAACTTTTGTATAAAAGAAACTTAAAACAAACAAAAGGAATTCGTCCGACAAGGGACACATCAAAGTAAAAACAAAATTGTTATTTTTATTTAATTTTGAGGATTTTCATATTTATCTACCTTTTAAGCCTTCTCTGGACTTCCACAAATAATTCAAGACCAAAATTAGACAAATCGGACCAGCCGTTCTTGAGTTTTAGCGAGACTAACGAACAGCAAATAATTTTTATATATATAGATAGATAGATAGAAGATAGATTTAATCTTTTTGTATGTGTGTTTGTCACTAAACTCCTAAGAAAAGGGGCTGATTGTGATGATTTATTTAAAATCTAACTGCTTTATTTTTTTCCTTTCAACTCTATTTTTAAGTTATCATTTATTATCAGTTATCAGTTATAATTTATTGGGGTAAAAATGTTTGAATTAAAATTTAGTATGTTGATTAAAAAATACATACTCAAATTCAACTTTTGTCATTCGATCTTTCAGTGAGGCATACATATCTTGTTTACTAATTCCTTGTTCAACAGTAGAGCCACGGATAAGGTTGAAGACCATCATCTGACGAGAATTTAAGCCATTCACTGAAGAGGTTTCAGTAATTCCAACCATTGAATTTGCAGGCAGCATGTTGTTAATTGGGACATCTTGAATATTTTTTTCCTGCAAAATAAAATCCAATTTATGAAGTAATGTATAGCAAAAAACATGTAGGCGGAAGCACCATTCATGATGGGACATAATAATCCAAAGCAATGATGCAACTCAAATGCACTAGCAAGAGCTGAATGATAACTAAATTTGTAGTTCTGTCTTTATCAGAATAAAGGGTTCAAGTTTGAAAATAGTAGATTATTATTTTAAAATAAAACTGAAAAAAAGGAGAAGCATGTTGGATGTGCTGAAATTCATTTTATATGAAAATTGAAATGGTAAGTCATTGCTGATGAAGAAGACATCATTTACATTGCTGAAGAATCAATAACAAATAATACTATACTATGACATATTTTTATGTACTGTACTGTAATAAAAATATCTGACAATTATTATCAACTCTTTTTGTTACATACAAGAACTAAATATTTCAAATACAAAATTTAAGTGTATTAAGCTAAATGTTGCTTAAACCAAATAGTCTTTAACCCCTCAAAATATTGTGTTATAAGTAGTTACTTCTGCCTTTAGCTATGGTGAATGGAAATGCGAATAATAAATTTTAAGATTACCAGGTATATTAGAATTACCTTCTTTGAGCCAGCTTCCATTTGTATTTTATTATGAATGCACTGAAAGTAGTGAAATGTAATAATGTTGACATCAGTAACTGGCATTATCTTAAATGCCATGAGTATTTTTGTCCCTTTATTCGTTTTCACATTGCCATAAATTTGTATGTAATCATTTACTTGAACTTTAGGTGATGAGGTATCCTGAAATTGAAGCTCAGAAAGATTTAATATCTGTTTTTTTTTATGTAAAATACTCAATATCTAAAGAATCAAAATGGCATATACTTAAATATTCAAAAAGCACAGAATAAGTTTAATAACTTAATCTGACTTTGAGATTTTTTAATTTTTTTTATTACCATGATTGTGGACATGATTAATGGATTAACTCATTTTAATTATTGATTTCGTTTACATTGACATTACTCTGAAACTGGAAGTAACTTTCACTTACTTCAACTTCCATAGCCTCTTGGTCGAGCCAGAGTACAGCCCTCATCCTCCCTGTTATATCTTGGATTGTATATGTTATTTTAGTGCTTTGCATTCTAATGCTCCTGATTCTTGCAACTATTGACACTATTTGAATTTCTGTACCCCATATTTTCACACCTTCTTCTCCAGAATGCAAAGCTTGCCTGATGACTATAGGTGCTGTCCGTGCCGCTCTACGACCCTGTGAATAAATGTATTATTAATATATTAAATTTTCGTAATCAATTGAATTTTTATTTTTTTGTAAACTTACCGTTTTCTTAGGTGTTGCAGTATTTCCAAATTGATTTGTGGTGTTAAGGAAGCCACCTCCAGACGGATCATCTGAATGTAACAAATTCTAATTAATATAGAAAAAACTATAAAGATAACCATGTAAATGATAAAACAACAAACCATTCCACATTGTTTTAAAGTAGAGGTCAAAATTGTTAGTTGAAGACTTTTCTAGTAACAGCAGTAGTACAATGCACTAAACAATTCCGAACCGATCCTAATAGAAAAGGTAGTATGGTTTAAATTTTTTAGTTTTGATTCTTATTCCTACTTTTTTCAAGTCAGTAAGGTACTAGCCACTAGGTTCACATATTTTATCTTCCAAAAGATGATGATTTATTTTGTTTCAGTAACTTATATCCAAAATGTCCCTTTGAAGTTTGGCCAGAAGTCTCAATTAATTCCCGCCATTTTATAGATTTTTTTTAAATTTGTTTAGTGGATAGGCGAAGGGAATCTAGCCCAGAAAATTAAGAAGTTTGTAAGAAGAAGCCGAAGTCATGTTATGTCAGGAGGTGAGTTGAAAAAAACATAACTGTTACATGAGATGTCACAAATATTAAATATTCTCTAATTCACTATCTAATATATTCAATTACAAGTAACATTACAAGTACAAGTGATATTGTCTGAGAGTTTAAAGATTTTAGAAAAGATACATCCAGTGATATTTGAAGTATGGACATGACTCATGTCTATAAAATATTTTATCATCACTCTACTTATCACATTAATATTTATGTAGGTGCGGCACAACACTAGGATTACAGTCTACCTCAGTAAGGCAAGTAATTTTAATATCAAGATATCTTCTTTCTGGTCGTTCCCTCAATGCTGAGAATCGTGACTGTATGTCAATCTTCTCCACTCGGTCCGGTTCTGCGCCATACGTACCGCTCCCTGTATCTGGCCTCCAGTCACCTCCTTGAGTTTGTCCACCCATCTAGCTGGCGCTCTTCCTCTAGCGCGCTTCCCCTCCATTTGTCCGAGAATTATGAGTTTCTCCAGGCTGTGCAATGAGGATTGCATTAAGTGCCCAAAGAAACTCCGAATCCTTTCCTGGCACATAGTCAGCAGGCGCTTGGTGACCTTCAGCTCTTCGAGGATGGAGACATTGGTTCTTATAGCTGTCCAAGGAATGCATAGCAGCTTTCTCCAGCAATACATTTCAAAGGCCTCGATCTTTTTGCGTTCCTTTTTCCTGAGACACCAAGTCTCCACCCCATACAGGAAGATAGAGAGGACCAACGTACGAACCAAACGCATCTTAGTTACTCGGCGAGTATTACGGTCTTTCCAGATTTTATTGAGGCTAGTCATGGCACTTTTAGCCATCCCGATGCGGCGTCCGATTTCTTTTTCGCAGTTACCACTGTTAGAGATCAGCGACCCCAAGTATATAAATTCCTCCACTTTCTCATAATCCTTGAGCGCATTTGATGGACTTAAAATTTGAGCTCTGTCCACCGTCATCACTTTGGTCTTAGAGCGGTTTATGTGCAGGCCAAATTCAAAGCTCACTCTCTCTATTCGCTCCAAGATCCCATCTCGGACTCGCTGGCTGCAAGGATTGTTGTATCATCGGCATATCTTAGATAAGATATTATACCACTATTTTAACTAATGTTCCTAAGAATAAAATCCACTGACCTTACTTACTTTTTATTATAGCCAAAGGCTTTGTTTGGCTTTGTTAATGAGTTCTGCAGATGATAAAATGAGAATCATAAAAATATTGATTAAAACAAGATATTTGGACATTACCCAGCTATTTACTTCAAATTTAAATAGGTGGCACTATAGTTCATTTAAGACTCATTAAGATGAACATTGAAAAAGACCAAATTATGATTAAGATTTATTGAGTGGCAAATAAACTTAGGGCTCACCTGTCGGTCATCGTTTTCCGTCGAATCCGCCGCTTGCGCACTGCTCTTGCCAGGGTTAGTGTTAGTAACGTCATTATGTTTGAGCCCCGTGAGCTCACCTACTTGTTAGGGCTACGCTGAAATAGCCTCTCAAGACTATCAGCTTAGGTAGGAAAAAAAGCCTCACCTGAAAGTTTTTTTTAATATTTGTTTTATTGCGTAATTGGGTGGACGAGGTCATAGCCCACCTAGTGTTTAGTGATTACCGGAGACATTTATAATATATAGACATTTATAACGTAAATGCCGCCACCCAACTTGAGATATGAGTTCTAAGGTCTCAGTATAGTTATAACAGCTGCCCCACCCTTCAAACCGAAACGCATTACTGGTTGAAATAGGCAGGGTGGTGGTACCTACCCATGCAGACTCACAAAAGGTCCTACCACCAGTAAAGATCTGTACTTTTTTGGTTTCTGTAACGGTCAGATAAAACTTTCTTTATATGCTGCTTTACTGCATTTTCAGGCCTATTACTGTCACGAAGCAATCATGCGAAGCTGTCATTTAACAACTATTTGAGACTTAGACCTCGAGTGTTAAGGTGGCGATGTTCACATTATTGTGATATCTACAGGCTCCAACTGGGCCTTGAGTTCGTTCACCCATCTAAACAGGATCTTTTGCGAAAAGATATCAAGTTACTTTTATCCGTTAATTTTGTGTTTACTCAGATTTATAAGTATAATCATAGCAGCTTATTAATCACATAATATCATAAAAGGGCGAAACAAAACAAAATCGCTATACGTGCGTTTCGGGTTTTACCAAAAGTGTCACTGAGATTTCACTGCTCTCAGTAAATTACCACCGTTTTTCATTTCATTTACCTATGGTTCTGTTTTGTGTCTTTTCATTTAATTCCATTTCATCACTTACTGACTTTTTTGCAACAGATATTTTCTATATTAAATATGTTTGCGTATTGTTTTAAAACTTTGGTTCGTTTGGGTTATATTTCGTTTGCTTGTTTAATGGACGAATCAAACAAAAAATCTATGACAGTCACTCGTAGTGGGATTGGGTGGGGAAGGTTATCATTATTTTGTTTTAGTGATTCATAACTGAGTGTTATATTTGTGTTTAATGAAGAATTTTATTGAGTTTGTTACTAAAAGAAAAATGTACAAAAAATTTCAGTCATAACAATGGTAAAAGTTTAATTCAGCAANTTTGCTTGTTTAATGGACGAATCAAACAAAAAATCTATGACAGTCACTCGTAGTGGGATTGGGTGGGGAAGGTTATCATTATTTTGTTTTAGTGATTCATAACTGAGTGTTATATTTGTGTTTAATGAAGAATTTTATTGAGTTTGTTACTAAAAGAAAAATGTACAAAAAATTTCAGTCATAACAATGGTAAAAGTTTAATTCAGCAATGTTGACAGAGCAAGATTGACGCGTTTCTACAGCAAAAAATTTAGATCTTTGCGCCTACATTCAAAGGCAAAATATTATTGTTTCTAAAATGCCTTTCGATTTCTTATGTTGTGTGAGACCAGGAGCCGAAGATGTAATAGACTTAGATTATTCACATCAATCATTGGTAGATTTTCCTACAGAAGTGTTCGTATACGAAAGAACTCTGGAAACTCTGTATTGTCAAAGCAATCGTATAACAGAACTACCTCGCCAGTTGTTCATGTGCCATGGATTAAAGTTTCTCGATGTGAGCGACAATGAAGTGTCTGCGATACCAGCAGCAATTTCATCTTTAGTAAATCTACAACACCTCAATATTAGCAGAAACACTTTAACCTCAATACCAGAAACTATGAAAGCACTTAAATACCTATTATTTTTGGACCTCAGTGTGAATCCACTTGAAAAACTTCCAGATGCTATTACAAACTTGATTGCATTACAGGAACTATATTTGAATGACACATACCTTGAGTATTTACCTGGAAATTTTGGAAGACTTGCAAATTTACGTATATTAGAATTAAGAGACAACTATTTAATGATATTACCGAAATCACTGTCTCGATCAACAGAACTGCTGAGACTTGATATTGGCCAAAATGATTTTCAACAATTCCCTGAAGTAATTGGCAGATTCTTGAAGTTGAAAGAATTATGGATTGATAGTAACAGCTTAACATGTATCCCAGCAGTAATAAAGCCTTTAGAAAATCTCATACACTTGGAAGCTACTAATAATATGATTGAAGAACTTGCTCCGGAAATTGGTTGTTGCAAACAATTGCAAGATCTGACATTAACACTTAATCATCTGACACAGCTACCAGACAGTATTGGTCAGTTAAGTAGTTTGACTACGTTGAAGCTAGATAATAATAGATTATATTCCATCCCAGAGAGTATAGGACAATTGTCAAATCTTGAAGAATTAATGCTAATGTGTAATTACTTGGATAAAATACCATCATCTATTGGTCTTCTTCGTAAACTTCAATATCTCAATCTTGATGATAATATGCTGAGATTAATACCCCCAGAAATTGGTAGTTGTAATAAGCTATCTGTTTTATCACTCAGAGGCAATAAATTGAACAAGATACCTCCAGAAATTGGTCATTTGACTTCTTTAAGAGTTTTGAATTTAGTGAGGAACTCCCTCACATGTCTTCCTCAGTCATTATTAAATTGTGATAATTTGGTGGCTCTTTGGCTCTCTGAAAATCAAAATAAACCCTTAGTGCCTATGCATTCTGAAGTAGATCCTCGCACATATGAACAAGTGCTGACTTGTTTTCTTTTCCCTCAAGTGCCTTTAGCTCCTATTGAAATCAAATCAGATAATGGGAAATCAGAAAATGTTGATAATAATACTTCAGTTCGCCACATTAGCTTTGAAGACATGAAAGCAGCACCAAAAGTGCCTGAAAAACCGGGGCAGCTAAGAAGAGCACCAACACCATATCCAAAAGAATTGAGAGCTTTGGCAAAACATGCTAGAAACATACATAAAGATGGCTCCCAAGATGTATCCCCTTCAATGCAAGATGCAGTATATATTAAAGCAGCCAAAATTACACCTACTCTACAACAAAGATTTGCATCTGATAATAAAATAGAACAAGAGTCAAGCAAAGATCACACTGATGGAATAAACAATGAAGTTATGAAAACATCCGTTTATGATAACCTTTCCTCTGAAAACACATATGACAAGCCACTTGATCTTGCACATGAACAAGGCACCACATACAAAAGTGTAGATCATGCTTTATATC